TTCACGTATTAATGTTCTTAATATCTCGTGTCTATGTAGGATGGCAAGTAAAGACTGACATAATACATCCCGTCTGACATTATTGTTCACAAATTTTATGTAGATTGGTATATTGTAAGCATTAGCACCATTTTCAGCATTAAATTCATTCATAAACAAAAGTCTTTCTTGTGCGAATGAAAGCGCATAATTTGGATGAGTCGAATAATTGTCACTGATTCTCACGATACGATCATACTCTTCAGCAGTAGAATCAAGTCCATGAAGAATGTATGATGCGAGCTTGGCAATTGTTTTATTTTGAAATATAGCCGAAACAGTAAGCTTAACAGATAACGAATTACTTAACATTAATGATAATTTTATGACCAAAATACTGTCACCACCCAGACTGAAGAAATCGTCGTGGATGCCTATATTCTCTAATGGTATGCCTAATAATTCTGACCATATTTGAGCAATTTTGGCTTCCAAATCATTTCGTGGTGGACCAAGTTCATTTTGGTCATACTTGGTAAAATTGACTTCAGGCAAAGCTCGTGAGTCTAATTTGCCGTTTATATTCACCGGTATCTTCTCAATGCGTACCAGTCGATTTGGTATCATGTAATCGGGCAACTTCGTTTGCATGTACTGCTTTATATCGGATTCGATCAGATTATCTTCAGAAACAAAGTATCCCAGAAGATGTTTTCCGCGTCTGCCTTCTACATCTGTTGTTTTGGCATCTTTAGCAATAACTACTGCTTGTTTTACACCTTGATACGAAGATAAGACAGCTTCAATTTCACCCAATTCAATTCGTATTCCTCTAATCTTTACTTGAAAATCATTTCGACCTAGATATTCTATTTCACCATCTGGCAACCAACGAACTAAATCACCTGTTTTATAAATACGTGCATTCTTGCCTTCTTTCTTTTCTTCTTCTGTTTGAAATGGATTTGATAGAAACCGTTCATTCGTCAATTCAGGTCGGTTCAAATACCCTCTTGCTACACCAATACCACCAATATATAATTCTCCAATAGCACCAATTGGTA